CCTATATACACCATCTCATTCAATCCTCACGATAACCCTCCACTTTACAGATTAGGAAACAGGTTGTTTAACTCGCCTGTGGTCACACAGGCAGTGAGGGGCCGTGACATCATCTGGTTCCATGTCCGTAGTGAGTTGAATGGTGATCCCTCAACATGTAGTCCATGTCCTAATCCCCAGAACCTATGAGTGTGAATTCATTTGGAGAAAAGGTCTTTGCAGGTGTAATTAAGGATCTCAAGTTGAGGTCATCCTGGATTAGAGTGGGCTGCAATCCAGTGAGGAGCATCCTTGGAAGAGAGGGGAGAAGAGACACACGGAGAAGGCAAAGCTGTGAAGGCCGAGGCCGAAGTCTGAGTGCTGCAGCTACAGAACAAAGAATGTCAAGGACGGATGGCAGCCACCAGCCGCTAGGAGAGAGGCACGGGGTGGGTTCTCCCTCCGCTGCCCATGGAACCACCCCTGCCCGAACCTGACTTCAGACTGCTGGCCTCCACAACCGCGTGGGAATGAAGCTCTGCTGTTTGAGGACACCTGGTTTATGGTACTGTGTTATGGCAGACCTAGGAAATAAATATAGATCCCAGACCACGTGGTGATGGGTCTGGTGCCTACTCGCCAGGCCTGGAAGCCGGGGGTCACCAGAGTCCCCAGCTGTGTGACTGTGGCCTGGTCACTTCCCTCCTCTGGGCCTGATTGCTCTGCAGTATTTCAAGCACTTAAAACACCAATGTCCCTCCAACTCTGGCATTCTACAACTCTCAAGAAGAACCAGGAGCCAGGCAAGCAGGGCTATGTTGGGATTTTCAAATTTATTCCAACATGCTGTGTGTTTTTTTTAAAAAATATCCTCAGGCTGAACACTCAGCCAGAGCTGTAATAAAGGCAATTATTATACTTGTAAAAACTTCTCATTCACAGTACAGATGTAATTTACAACAAAGGTCACACACATCAATACTGAGCATTTTTTTCCTTTTGTACGTCAGACTCTGTGCTTTAGACCTGCATGGATTTTTTTGTTGAGTTTTTTTTTTCTTTTGCACTGATATATACCATACCAACATTGCAAGATGCAAGTGTAGAAACTGGAGATTAGATAAAAGTACAGGCAAAACTACCCCATCCCAGTGTGGCCGCTGTACATATCTACAGTACGATTTTTGGAATGTATTGCCATTTAAGAACATAGGAACTCTCTACAGACAATTTCACAGACAGAATACACACACCTTTTAGGGAAAAAAAGGCAAGTATTTATCTTACAGAGAGTGTGTATCTTACATTTGCCTACGTTTCCTTTTTGTTTCTTTTCTTTTTTTAACACTAAGTTTAGTAAAGTGATCATAAGTGCCAAAGCAGTTTTCTAATGGAAAGCGGACTGGATTCACGACACAGAAGCAAATTTGTGGAACGGGCCCCGGGAACTCCCTCCCCTTGGACAAGGCTGCAGATCGGTCCCCAAGGATGGCTGCCCAGGCAGGACTTTCACTAAAGAAGGATTTGTCAGAAGGAGGGACTAGAGAGCAACTCGGCTCAGATATATTGCTTATTCCCCTTCCAAAGGCCCAGGTGGGAATGGAGTTAGGGCACGAGGGAACTGGAATTGAATTCTCAGCCCTTTTCCCACAGAGGGAGGCAGAGGGACTTGTGGGTCCGGAAGCTGGGGGTCCGGGAGGTGGGAGAGTGGGCAGTCCACCACCATCGGGCTCCAGGAGGGTCTCAGTGGGTGGGACCAGAGTGTCAGCGGCAGGTGGGGCACCTGGGGAAAGATGCCTCGGAGAGGAACAGGGTTAGTATCCAGAATGGCCTTGAGCTTGCTGAGGGTGAGGGGTGTCCTGAGGGTGGGCCTGGGAGCAAGGGTTGTCTCTGAAACCCCAGCAGGCTGCTCCTCTCCCATGCCAACCCCCAAGGACCAGAGCAGGCCTGTGCCAAGGAAGGGCCACCCCGCACATTTAACAGAGCACACAGTAGGCGTCCGGCCAACCAGCCAGTACTGCTTCCTCCACCGCCTCCCTTCACCTGGGCAATAGTGTCACAGGTGAACAGTGGCTGGGAGCAGGGCCGGGGGCTGGGGACGGCACGGAGCAAGAGTCTTTTACCAAATGATGAAGGTGTGTGTGTGGGCTGGGGCCTGTGCTCGGGCAGTGGGAATAGAGTCAGGCAGAGAGGTTAGACGTTAGAGCTACGTCCAGTGACATCGGACCCCGACGGGTGGCATCGATTCTGCCCCTCTGAGCACCTGTGTGGGGCAGCAGCCCTTTGGCCAGATTCCGTTTGTGCTACTGTGTCCCTGTCATTGAGAGAGGGGCCTTTAGTGACTCCTGGTCTTCGTCCCCTCTACCTGTGCCTGTGTCCTGAGTGACCATGAGGGCTCTCTCCTGCTGGCCACACCGTCCCTGCCTGCACTGTACCTCCCAGGAGGGAGACCTCGGTGGGTTGACAGGAGGAATGATGACCTGGAGAGCTGGGTGTGCAGAGCAGGTGGAGGAGCGTGGCCAGCCCCAAGGTCAGGGGTGAGTCCTGCAGAGCGCCCAGTCTGCTGCTCTGTGGGTCTGGGGCTGGAAGATCGTGCCCAGGAAGGGTTCCAATCTGGGCTGAAGCAGTGCCCTTTACCCAGCTCCCAGGCCTCAGCACTCGAAGTCTCTAGTCCTTGGGCAGCCCCAGGGATAGGACTGAAAGGCGAGGTGAGGAAAGCCCTGGCCTGGGCCGTGGCTGAGTGGGGCCTGGGTTCCTTACCACTTCCTGCCAGGACCTACCAGTGCCAATATGGTCAGAGCCCAGCTTGCTGGCTTCTCCCAGGGTGGGTGGGAGGGAGTCCCGAACTCGGGGTCAGGCAGCCGAGAACTGCTCGCTCACCTACCCCCAGTCCCTTGGAGCCCAGCAGCCCCTAGGGAGACCCTTTCCCTCTGTTCCCCTTTTTGTCTTTGCTCTGAGTGAGGTCAAAGGAAAATGAACTAGTTGGTGTGGGTGGACCAGTGGCTGGATTGTCCACTCAGTAGGGGCCAAGCCAGGAAGGGCCCTGAACCAGATGAAGAGGGATTATGGCTGAGTTTGGGGAGCGTGCAGAGGCGCCTTGACCCTCCCCAGCGCATGGCGTTCACCTAAACAGCCCAGGAGCCTCTATGGGGACAGGATTCCTACCGCCTGGCTGCGGACGGGGACTGGCCGGGAGGGCCCCCAGCACCCGGACCTGCTTTCTCCCCCTTGTAGAAACAAGGAAATAATTGTGGAGGGCTGGGGGACAAGCCACCTCTCCCAGAGCAGGGTAAACATGTTAGAGTTCAAATTCCATATTTCAACCTGGGATTTAACTTCTGGTCACATTATTTTCCTTACAAAGCAGGTTTTTGTCCCAGCAGATGCAGGGCAGCTTCTGGAAGGGGGAGCTGGGGATGGGGATAGAGGCGCTGGCTAGAACCGATGGTTTTGGAGAAGAATTCAAACGACTTAGGGCAATGGACCCCCCTCCCCACCCAGGTCAGGAGAATCTGGGGATCTGGGGGAAATATCAAACAGCAGCCTCTCTTTCTAGATGTTCATATATATAGCATTTTTTAAAAAAGGGATTTAAGCCAACAAACAGGACTGGGCAGTTCCCACCAGTCCTGGTTTGTGTACTTCCTGAGGGTAGTGGAGCCTGACAGTGTGGGGGTGTCGGGGGGCGGGGCGGGGAACCAGTCCTGCAAACTTCCAGTCCCCAGCGCAGTAAAGGCCAGCCAGAGAGGAAAAAGGCCCTTTGTATTCCAGGGACCAAATGTGAAAGGAAACCCAAGCCCCAGACTCTGGAATGGCGAGGCTCTGCACCTTGGATCTTGACCCCGAGGGGCTGGGCCCTGCACTCCAGCCTTGCCGGTACTTTCTAGAACAAGGAAGGCAGCCTGTGGCGGGGCCACAAGAGCAAGGCCTAGGCCAGGTGCTGGGGGCCAGGAATGGATGGACGGAGCTCCTTCCCAGCCCAGGGCCTGGGGGCGGGGGTCGTCCCCTGGTCAGACCACATGGGCATCCGGGAGCCCTGGGGGAACCAGCCAGCTCCTCCCTACCTTCTGCCTGCGATTATTTTGTGTTGAAATCCTAGGACGGGAAAGTGGGTGTTTTCTGGGCTTGGCCGTGGACGCTGCTTGGGGTCTCCCTGCCCGTGTCTGTGCCCCCCTGCCTGGGGCCACTGGCTGGGGTGGGGTAAAGTGGAATAAATAGGACATACACATCTGTACATAGGAGTGCTTGCTTTTACATTTAATTATATATTTTTTAAAGTTTTTTTTCCCCTCCCTCAGTGCATCCCCTTTACCTCAGCAAATGGCTGCCTCCTGCCAGCCTTGGGGGTGGCTGCTGACCCCATCGGCGGTGGGTGAGGCCCCACCTACCCCCCCTTTCTCAAAAAAGCACAAAATATTCACAGCCTCAAACTCCGTGTGTTGTTGTTTTTTTATGTGTGTGTATGTTTTGTTTCTTTTCAAGCAACAAAAGGAATAGAAAAGGCACAGGTCACTGCATACGTGGGAAGATACAACCGATGGGGGCTGAGCGGGAGCTGCGTGGACACACGGACAGATGGGGGAGGGACCCAGGTGAGCAAGATGATTCGAGGAAGCTGCTGGAAGCGTCTGTTGCCCAACCGGAGGCCAGATGCTGAAGCCGTCGGAGAGAGGCTAAGTGCTACAGAGAGGACCCCTGTCGCCGGCTGGTGCGGAGG